AGACAGCCAAATGACCTTCCAGTCATCATTCTGGATGAAGCCGTGCCAGCGTGGGCCAAGGCAGAGGTGGTTAAGGACAATCAGGCAGGCAGGTAGAGGGGTTAGGGGTGATCAGGCAGGAAGGTGAGTCGTTAGGGGCGATCAGGCAGGCAGGCAGGTGAGCGGTTAGGAGTCAGTGGTCCCGGATTGTGAGAGGGATGTCCCAGATTGCAAGGGGTTGCAGGCCAGGCTGAGGGACTCCCCTCCTCCTACACAAATTTTGTGCACCGGCCCTCTAGTTTTTAATAAAAACTCTCAGCAAAGTGGATATGGAAGGATATATCTAAATTTAATAAAGGCCATATATGACAAACCTACAGCCAACATCATACTAATGGGCAAAAACTAATATCATTTCCCCTAAAAACAGGAACAAGACAGGAATGTCTGCTTTCACCACTCTTATTCGTCATAGTACTGGAAGTCCTAGCCACAGTGATCAGACAAGAAAAAGAAATAAAAGGCATCCAAATTACAAGGGAGGAAGTAAAACTGCCATTATTCGCAGATGACATGATATTGTACATAGAAAAACCAAAAGACTCCACCAAAAAACTACTAGAGTTAATAAGGGAATTCAGAAATGTAGCAGGGTGCAAAATTAACACAGAGAAATTTATGGCAATTTGATACACCAATAATGAATACTCAGAAAGAGAAACTGAACAATCACATTTACCATTGCAACAACAACAACAAACAACTAAGATACTTTGGAATAAACTTAGCCAAGGAGTTAAAAGACTTGTACCCAGAAAAGTACAAGACATTGAAAAAAAATAGATAGAGGAAGATATAGACAAGTGGAAGAATATACCATGCTCTTGGTTTGGAATAATTAACTCCATTAAAATGTCCATACTACCCAAAGCAATCTACAGATTCAATGCAATCCTATTAAAATGCCGAAAGCATATTTCACAGATCTACAACAAATACTCCAAAAAAGACCCCAAATAGCCAAAGCAATCTTGAGAAAGGAGGGCAAAGTTGGGAGGGATCAAAGTACCAGATATCAAGTTATACTACAAAGTCATTTTATTATAACCAAAACAGCCTGGTACTGGCAAATGAACATGCATATAGGTCAATGGAACAGAACAGAGACCCCAAAAATCAGTCTAAGCTCAATTAATATTTGTCAAAGGAGTGATATTGGGAATATTGTACAGACACGGGCAAAAATATATATAAAAGAATAAACTCAAAATGGATAAAATACTTAAATGTATGTAATGAAACTATAAAAATCCTAGAAGAAACCATAGGAAGCAAAATCTCAGACATTTCTTGTAGCAACATGTTTGCGAATACATCTCCTAGGGCAAGGGAAACTTAGGAGAAGATAAACAAATGGGACTACATCAAAATAAAAAGCTTCTGCACAGTGAAATAAATCATCAACAAAATGAAAAGGGAGCCCACTGTATGGGAGAACATATTTGGCAATGACACATCTGATAAAAGGTTAATATCCAAAATATATAAGGAACTCATACAACTTAACAAAAGGAAGACAAACAATCCAATAAAAAAAATGGACAAATGACCTAAATAGACACTTCTCCAAAGTGGTCATACAGAAAGCCAAGAGACATATGAAAAAAAAATGATCAAAATCACTGATCATCAAAGAGATGCAAATTAAAATGACAATGAAGTATTACCTCACACCTGTCAGAATGACTACCATCAACAAATCAACAAATGACAAGTGCTAGCAGGGATGTGGAGAAATGGGAACCTTAGTGCACTGCTGGTGGGAATGCAGATTGGTGCAATCACTATGGAAAGCAGTATGGAGTTTCCTCACAAAATTAAGTATGGAACTGCCATTTGACCCAGTGATCTCACTTCTAGGAATATATCCTAAGAAACCCAAAATACCAATCAAAAGAATGTATGCATCCCTATGTTCATAGCAGCACAATTTACAATAGCTAGGATCTAGAAACAGCCCAAGTGCCCATCAGTAGATGAGTGGCTAATAAAGCTGTGAAACATTTATATAATGGCATGCTATATGGTGGTAAAAAGAAGGATCTCTTTCCCTTTGAGACAGCATGAAGGGACATGGAGCATATTATGCTAAGTGAAATAAGTTGTTTTATTAGTTGGCTAGAGCTCTGTAACAGAGTATCACAAACTGGGTGACTTGTCATTCAGAGAAAGACAAGTATCACATGATCTCACTCATATGTGGAATCTAGTGAACCAAACAAACATGAACAAAATAGATTGGGAGACATAGAAGCATGGAACAGACTGGAATCTCAGAGGGAAGGCAGAAGTGAGTGGGTGGGTGGGTAGAGATCAACCACAGAACTTGTATGCATATATGCATAACCTATGGATACAAACAATAGGTTGGTGAAAGCCTTGGGGGGGGGTGAGGATGGGCTAGAAGGTTACAAATGAGGGGACAGGGGGACATATGTAATACTTTCAACCTTAAAGAATTATTTTATTTTAGTTTTATATTTGGGAAAGACTTTGCTCTCAAACATCGGCTTTGTTTTGGTTATGTTCTTCTTTCTATTTTCTTATTTTCACTGTGAGCAAGAATCCCTTAAAGCCAAATACATGCAAACTGTCCCTGAAGATATCATATGTCTACATCTATTTTTATGGTACCACCATGATCTTATCCTAATTGAGCTTTCCTGAGGTAGTGTAGAAGACATTATTGATTTGTTGTGGATGTTGTTAATCCTCACCTGAGGATATTTTTCCATTGATTATTAGAGAGAGTGGAAGGGAGTAGAAGGGAGGGGGAGAGACAGAGGGAGAGAAACATGAATGTGAGAGAGCCACATTGATTGGTTGCCTCCCATACGCACCCTAACCGGAGCTGGATATCATGCCTACAACTGAGGTATATGCCCTTGACAAGAATCAAACCCTCAATTTTTCAGTCCATGGCTGATGCAAAACTGAGCAAAACTGGCTAGGGTGGCATTATTGATTGACATCCTATTGACCAACATCTGGGTTCACTTATGCTGGGCTGGACAGCATTTCACATCTTACAACTGCCTAGATCATGTGCATACATATTTTTGTTTCTCTACGTGTGGCTTTTCTCTGATTTATATGTGCTTGCTCATCCCAGGACCAACGTGGTCTCAGAGTGCTAAGCATTTAATTCCCTAAGGGGCTACTTTCAAACAATGATAGAAATGGGTGAAAAATACTCCAGCTTTCCAGTCTCTCAGAGACAATAACAAGGTGTGTTCTGCCTGGTTCTTCAGAGCTCCCCAATGGGATTGAACTTCAGTTGCCTACAGCAGTACCCCTCTAAGTGATGCAGCTTTTATGGCTTTCCTCGCTTCTCAGTTTCTCCTTCCTTTTCAATTTTCCATTTATTTTCCTGTGGTTATTTTGACCACTTCCCAAATAAATGACTTTGTTGCTTTGGGAGAAACTATAATTAAGATGGGTAATAGTTTGGGAATGTAGTGTCCAGATAGTTCAGAACATCAACAAAACCAGGAAGTGCAATAATAAAATCACAAAGTTTTAGAGCAAATAGAGCCCTAAATATCATGATGTCTTATGAATTCTGTCTCCTTCTCTTTCCCTCTGAAGTCCTTGGCTATCCTGGTTTATTTCTATATAATTCTTTGTTCCCTTGTCACTTGACTAAAGTGATATAGTGTTGGATTTTTCCAAACTAACTATATAGGCAGGCAAAAGAAAAATGAAAACCAAACACAAGACATCATAAAAGCATAAAACTTGACAAAGTTGCTTTATCAGTTTGCTAGAGCTGCTGTAACAGAGTATCACAAACTGGGTGGCTTCACCAACAGAAATTTATTGTCACAGTTCTGGAAGCTAGAAGTCTTAGATCAAGATGTCAGCAGGTTGGTTTCCTTCTGCGAGCTGTGAGGGAGAATCTGTGTCAGGCCTCTCTCTTCATCTTATAGTAGACTAGTGGCCCAGTGCACAGATTCATACACATTGAAAGGAAATTGGGAGCCCGTGCCTGTGTGCCTGGGGAGTTTCCATGTCCCCATGAGCCACCGGGAAGTCACGTGGGGAGTCTGTCCTTGTCCCCACAGCTTCCTGAAAAAATATTTCCAAATGTCCCTGCTGTGGCCACGGTCATGCCTTGCTGGCTGGGAGGTCTCCGGTGGATGCCTTGGTCCCTGATGGACTCTTTCCACTGCTTGGAGCTGGATAAGAGATACTCTGAGGTGAACAATACAATGTTGGGGACCTTGGGGGGTGGGGGTACTCTGTTGCCCACACCCCCACCCTTCAGATTCATCTATCTTTGACTTTTACCCCGATTGTCAGTCACCAACTTGTAGCCACTGTTATATTGCTGCCTATCTCTGTATCTCCAGGGCAATCGGTAAGGGATTAAATTTGATCTTGATGCCAGAGGCAGAGTTCCTGGAGCCTGGTGGCGATATCAGGCTCATCCTGGTTACTCTGAGTGTCCACGCTTCAACCATTCTCCAGAGATTGTAATGGCAGGATTATGGGGTATGAGGGATGTAGTGGTATGCTAAGAGACAGGTGGCCGGGGAGGGGCCCGAGCCAGGATCTGGGCACTGCATCACTCCCACTCACTGCAGCCTCGCTGCACCTGCTGCCACCACCACCACCACCACCACCACCACCACCGCGGCCACTCCATAGAGCTGCTGCAGAGGCAGGAGAGGCTCCCGCCGCCACAGCTGTGCTCACCAGCCATGAGCCCAGCTTCTGGCTGAGCGGCGCTCCCACTGTGGGAGTGCACTGACCACCAGGGGACAGCTCCTGTGTTGAGCGTCTGCCCCCTGGTGGTTAGTGCGCATCATAGTGACTGGTTGACTGGTCGTTCCAGTCGTTCAATCATAACTGTCACTTAGGCTTTTATATATATAGATGGTCATCTTCTATAGGTATCTCTTCACACTGTCTTTCCTCTATATGTGCCTCTCTCTGTGTCCAAAATTGTCCCTTTATAAGGACTCCAGTCATATTGGATCATGGCCCACTCTACTGACCTCATTTCAACTTGATTACTCTGTAATGACTCTATCTCTAAATAAGGTCACATTTTGAGGTCCTGGGAGGTGGGACTCTAACATATCTATTTTGAGGGGACACAATTCAATCATAGCTCTTTACAACAGAGACTTCTTGTGAAACTAAAGTGGGATATTGCCTCTGCTTTTCTTATACAAGCACAGATAACTTAGGCTCATGTTCTCATTTCAGCCCAATCTAGCTGAATGCTGCAGTTGGGGCAAAGATCAACAGTTTGTTACTGTATGAGGGTAATAAACTTTAGTCTTTTTGTAGCACATTAAATATTTCTTAGAGCCGAAACAGGTTTGGCTCAGTGGATAGAGTGTCGGCCTGCGGACTGAATGGTCCCAGGTTCGATTCCAGTCAAGGGCATGTACCTGGGTTGCGGGCACTTCCCCAGTGGGGGATGTGCAGGAGGCAGCTGATCGATGTTTCTCTCTCATCGATGTTTCTAACTCTCTATCTCTCTCCCTTCCTCTCTGTAAAAAATCAATAAAATATTTAAAAAAAAATATTTCTTAGAAAATGTGCAAATTCTTATGTCTTGAACATTATTTTTTTGTCATTATAATATAGTTCTAATTAATGCATACTCTTACATACAATATCATCCCTTGATAAACATTTTCACATGTCACTGTATACAATTGCAGAAGTATTAAATATACATCTTTATATATATACTAGTGGCCCGGTGCACAAAAATTTGTGCACTCGGGGGCATCCCTCAGCCCATCCTGCCCCCTCTAACAGTCTGGGAGCCCTCACAGGATGTCCTACTGATGTCCCTGTGGGGAGTGGGCCTAAGCCAGTCTGGCCTCCCTCTGTGGAAGGCAACTGACCCATCAGGTATATAGATACTCTCTGAAGACAGCACAGACTCCTTCCTTATTTCTTTCCTCTGTGGTTGGAGAATAGGGGACTAAAAGGTGGAGACAGAACTGTGGCCGGGCCTGGGGTTCTTGTAGGCAGCAGAAAGAAGGAGAGGGTTGGGGAAAGTCTAGACATGGTTTTCTTCAATTGTCCTCCCTTCCTCCAGGCCCCTCACTCTGTTCTTTCCTTGTCATGGTGGACGCTTGGGACTCGGACTGACAGGAGCCCAACAATGGTGGAGTTCAGCCCTCTCACTTCTCAGCTGAACATATAAACGCCTCACATTCCAAGTGGAGCTGTTTTCAAGTGGCTAAAGTGCTGGCAATTCATGCCTCCTGGCCTTTCCCCTCTGGGGCTTCCACCATGGGTCAGTTGCAAACTTCACCGAGACACTGAAGCAACTCTGCCCTGGTACTTCTGCACTGGCCCCTGCACTCTTCCTTGAGGTCTCTGGATCCACAGTCTGAGCTCAGGGAGGTCATCCAGAGCCCGTTGCCCTGGACAGGTGGGGCAGGGGGGCTAGCTTGAAGAGCTGGAGGAAGATGGCAGAGTAAGAGTTGGTATGAACCAGCGCCTGCTTAGCCAGACTTCCTAAGCTCCCCACTGGGCCCAGGCCGGGCCCCTTCCCCACACCAGGAGGATCCCAGCTGAGGTCCCCTCCCTGCACCCAGCGCTCTCCTCCCTGTTCTACCACTGGGGGAAGGGAGCAGCTCACCTGCTCTGGACCCTGCCAACCTGGCAGGCTGAGGCACAGGAGGTGCAGCCTAGGGTGCTGGTGGCTGTGAGCCTTCTCCCCCACCCTGAAGCGTGATGTGGGGTTGCAGCAGCTCACAGCCATCCCTGGGCACCATGCATGGAGAAACCGCTCTCCACTGGGCCACCATCCACCGTTCTGAAGGCAGCCCACGTTGTGCCAGCCCCTCTTGCTGGTCAATCAGGGAGGGATGCGGGATGCAAAATTCTGCCTCTCTCTTTCTTTCTCTCTCTCTCTCTCTCTCTCTCTCTCTCTCTCAGAGTGGGCCCCGTGTCTCTGGTGGACGGGTGAGGGCTCCGGCGAGGCAATCTGCACCGCTTGCATTCGCCCCAGCCCCCGCCCTCCCCCTGATCGCATTGGGACATGTCTCGTGCTGCATTCCCAAACCCCTGGGTGCCCCAGCCCAGCACTGCTCTCCGGCCTGGGGTGGGGGTGAGGGACGTGGAGCACCATCCTGAAGGCAGCCCTTACTGGCTTGGAATCACAGTGGTCAATCAGGGAGGGATGCGGGATGCAGATCGCCTCGCCTGAGCCCTTGCCCGCCCACCGGAGACACGTGCCAATGCGCATGGGCTGGGGGGAAGGCAAGTGGTGCGGATCTCCATGCCCGAGCCTTCACCTGCCCACTGGAGACGTGTCCCAATGCGATCCGGGGTCGGGCGGGGGGCTGGGGCGAATGCAAGCGGTGCAGATGCGTCGCTGGAGCCCTTGCCCGCCCACCGGAGACTCGTCCAAATGCGATCCGGGGGGGCAGGCGGGGGCTGGGGCAATGCAATTGGTGCAGATGCCTCGCCGGAGCCCTCACTTGCCCACCGGAAACATCCCAATGCGATCTGGGGGTGGGCGGGGGCTGGGGCAAGGCAAGCGGTGCCCATTGCCTCGCCAGAGCCCTTGCCCGCCCACTGGTGGGCCTCTGTCCCACTTGGGAGAAGCCAAGTGTTGCTTTGTGGGTGCCAGGTCTGCGGTTCCATTTCTTTGTAAATGGCCAGTGCCAGGCAGCCATTGGCTCCCCACAGCACCCAGATTTGGTTCTAATTGGTCGATGTCTATGCCAGTCAGCATCAGAAGCTCCGCCTCCTAGCCAGCCATTGGTTCTCACAGCACACACATTTGGTTCTGATTGGTTGGTTCCTATGCCAATCAACATCAACAGCTCCACCTCCTAGGTAGCCATTGGTTCTTCACAGCACCCACATTTGGTTCTGATTGGTCAGTTCCTATGCCAGTAAGCATCCCCGGGCCTATCTTTGGGCCTGATTAGAGAGGCAGAGATGAACAGCAGCCCCCATGGAGTCAGGGAGAGAAAGAAAGGCCCAGCTGTTGGTGAAACCCAGAAAGAAAGAGGGAGGGAAAGAGAGAGGCAAGTACTGATCAACAGCTGCCACTGAGGCTGTGGATCAGACCCTGCCTCTCTCTCTGGGTCTCAGCCCCGTGGGCAGTCAGTGCTGGGTCGCCAGGCTGCAGCGGGGCAGTCAGTGCTGGGTCGCCACAGCAACCCAGTGCTGACTGAAGGACTTCCAGGTTGATCATCCTTCGGTTGTTATGACCCTGGGCTTTTATATATTAGGATATTTAAAAGGTTAAATTGACTCACGCATGGACGACACCAAAAAAGCTCTTGCTGGTGTCAATCGAACACATGTGTTTCGATCTGTCATTGTTGATCGTGAATTTGGTTGACACTTCTATTATAGAAAAAGGGAAGATATCGATATTAAAATATTTCTTCTGATTAATTTCCTTTCAATGTGCATGAATTTGTGCACTGGGCCACTAGTGTTGAATAAGAGTGGTGAAGTGTACATCTATATCTTGTTCCTGTTCTTAGGGGAAAAGCTTTTAGTTTTTGCCCATTGAGAATTATGTTGGCTGTAGGTTTTTCATAGATGGTCTTTATTATCTTGAGGTATAATCCCTCTATTCTCACTTTACTGAGGATTTTTATTTTTAAAAAAGAGTGCTAGATTTTGTCAAATGCTTTTTCTGCATCTATTGATATGATCATGTGGTTTTTATCTTTCAATTTGTTTATGTGATGTATAACATTTATTGATTTATGAATATTGTGCTGGCCTTGCATCCCTGGAACAAATCCCACTTGATCATGGTGTATGACCTTTTTAATATATTGCTGGATCCGATTTGCTAATATTTTGTTAGGATTTTAGAGTCTGTGTTCATCAGGGATATTGGCCTGTAATTCTTTTTCTTAGTAGCGTCTTTATCTAGTTTTGAAATTAGGATAATTCTGGCTTTGTAAAAAGACCTTAAATGTTTGGTAAAATTCACCTGTAAATCCATCCCATCCAGGACTTTTGTTTACTGGAGGTTTTTTCATTACTGCTTCTATAACATCAGTTGTTACTGGCCTCCTCAGGTTTTCTGATTCTTCCTGATTGAGTTTTGGATGATTGTATGTTTTTAGGAATTTTTCCATTTCACCAATGTTGTCCAGTTTTTGGCATATAGTTGTTCATAGTATTTTCTTACAATCCTTTGAATTTCTGTAGTGTCAGTTGTTACTTCACTGATTTCATTTCTGATTTTATTTATTTGGGTCCTCTTTGTTTCTTGATGAGTCAACCTAGAGGCTCATTAATCTTGTTTGTCTTTCCAAAGAACCAGCTCTTGGATTTATTGATCTTTCATAATTTTTTTTTGTCTCTATGTCATTTATTTCTGCTCTGATTTTTATTCTTTCTCTTTTTTTTCTACTTCCTATGGGCTATTCTTGCTGTTCTCTTTTTAATTCATTTAGTTGTAAGGTAGATAGTTTATTAGTCCTTTATCTTGTTTCTTGAAGTAGGGCTGTAATGCTATGAACTTCCCTCTCAGGACTGCTTTTGGCATGTCCCATAGGTTTTAGGTGGTTGTGTGTTCATTTTTCTTTGTTTCCAGGAAGTGTTTAATTTTTTGCTTGATCTCATTCGTAACCCATTTGTTGTCTAATGACATGCCATTTAGTCTCCATGTATTTGAGTGTTTTTCAGTTTTTTTAAATTGTAGTTGATTTATCAATCTTCTCATATCAATCTTCTTGAATTTGTATAATCTTGTTTTGTGCCCTAACGTGTGGTCTATCTTTGAGAATGTTCCATGTGTGCTTGAGAAGAAAATATATTCTGTTGCTTTAGGATGAAACGTTCTGTACATTTTGGATAGATCTACCTGATCTAGTGTGTCATTTAAGGCTTCTATTTCCTTATTAATTTTTAGTCTGGAAGATCTATAAAGTGATGTAAGTGGGGTGTTAAAGCCCCCCACTACGACTATATTACTGTCAATCTCTCCCTTGAAGTCCATTAAGTGTTTTTTAATGTATTTGGGTGCTCCTATATTGGGTGCATATATGTTTAGAAGTGTTATATTTTCTTGTTGTATCATTCCCTTTAGTATTATGATGTGGCCTTCTTTATCTATTATTATGGCCTTTGTTTTGAAGTCTATTTTGTCTGATATGAGTATTGCTACTCCAGCTTTATTTCCCTTTCCATTTGCATGGAATATATTTTTCCATCCTTTCACTCTTAATCTGTGTATATCTTGTGTTCTGAGGTGGGTCTCTTGTAGACAGTAAATATATATGGATCATCTTTTCTTATCCATTCAGTCACTCTATGTCTTTTGACTGGAGCATTTAATCCACTTACATTTAAGGTTATTATTGATAGGTATTTATTTCTTGCCATTTTTTATTTTCTTTATGCCTATGATCCTCTCTCTCTCTCTCTCTCTCTCTCTCTCTCTCTCTCTCTCTCTCTTTTCTTCTTCTTCTTCTTCTTCTTCTTCTTCTTCTTCTTCTTCTTCTTCTTCTTCTTCTTCTCCTTTCAGTCTCTTTAACATTTCTTACATTGCTGGTTTGGTGGTAAATTGCTCCTTTAAATTTTTTTTTTTGCCTGGAAAGCTTTTTATTTCACTTTCAATTTTATTTCAATTTCAATTTTCAATTTTAGCCTCACTGAATACAGTAGTCTTGGATTTAGGCCCTTTCTTTTCATTACTTTGAGTACTTCATTCCACTCTGTTCTGGCCTGAAATGTTTTTCTTGAGAAGTCAGTTGACATCCTAATGGGAACTCCTTTGTTTGTAATTCTCTCTCTCTCTCTCTTGCTACCTTTAATATTCTTTCTTTGTCTTTAACTTCTTTTTTCACAAGTAATGCTTTAATGGCTCAGCTTTCCACAGTCCTCAAAACAGACATGGACAAATCCACGGTGTCCTCTAAAACATAACTGAAGCCAACACCCTGGGAGACACTGCTCTGCTTCTCTTCTGTCAGATGTTTTTATGGTGATGGTTACCCCAGCTGGTCAGCACCTCCGTGCCTGGCACAGGCAAGGCCCGGGGTCCCCTGGGGACCCCAGCAGACTCCTCACATGTTAGTCACACACGTATGGTAGGATACCAGCTGCCTCTGGGGAGAGGAGCGTGGGGAGACAAATACTGATGCATCTGATGCATGCATGTGTCACCAGCAAATACAATTACAAACATCAGACTGAACTGTAACAACACTTACGAAACATCATCATAAATCTGAACGGGAGACACTTTGATTTTTAAAATCAGAGGCTACTGCCGGCCCGCGTGGCTCAGTGGTTGAGCATAGACCCATGAGCCAACAGGTCACAGTTCAATTCCTAGTGGAACATGCCTGGGTTTAGGGCTTGATCCCCAGTGTGGGACGTGCAGGAGGCAGCTGATCAATGATTCTCTTTCTCATTAATGTTGCTATCTCTCTGTTCCTCTCCCTACTTCTCTCTCTAAAAAATAAATAAAAACATGTTAAAAACAAATAAAATCAGAGGCTGCGTGAAAGCACAGATTGAATTTAGTGCATTTTACAAAAAGAACAGAGCTCCTAATATGAACCGGAGTCTGGCAACACTGGAGACCTGTAAAACACTGCCTGGAGGGGCAAGAGCATTTGAAAACCAATCTAGAAAGTCCCAAATGGGTAGCCAGGCTACTTGTTATGCAACAAGTTAGAATGAGGCTAGAGACCTGGCTGGGGAAAGCATCCTCAGTTCTCTGCATGCCCCTCCGCAACATCTCTAGTGAAAGGCCCCTCTCTTGATGCCTCACAGCAAAAAAGCTAGAGCGTGAGTCTTAGAATCACCTTAGTGACACTGTAACCCCTGGACTGCTTTGCCACGTCGGATCCTTTCTCAGTCCTCGGTGTGGGCCTCCTGGGCTCAGGGTCCACCCAGCACTCACAGTCAGTCCCTCCTTCCCCTTAACAGGAGGAGTCAAGAACAAAACCTGTTCTCTGTGAGAAAGATCATAGATCTGTTCTGCAGGAAACTGTTACCAGAATATAAAACTAAACAGTTTTAGAAATGAACCAGTCAATGCAAAATGTCACGAGAGGTTAAATGCCTCCAGTTTCAACACACGAAAAATATAAAAGTCATTCTAATCTGACTCTACCTATAAAAGCCTTACCAAAACTTTAAAATATAAGCATAGGGAATGTTTCTCTTCATCACAGTTACCAAATAGCTAGAGGGCCGTTACTAAATATAAAAAAGTCACCAATCCTCTGAGGCCCAGGGCTTGGAGAGATGGCCTCACGTTCCCTCTGAAGGCCTCCTCGCCCGGCTGAGGGCAACGCCAGGGCTGAAGCACCACCCTGCGCTGCCGCTAAGTGTGGGCTGGGACAAGTTGCTGCACGTCCCAGACCCCAGCGCTTCCATCAGTAGCACTTTCTCAACATGTGAGCCAAGGAATACTCATCTCCTGGAACACGGATCTGTGGTCAAATGAAGTCGGAAAATGCTACAAGATTTCTCCCGAGTCACCGTGGGCATTAACGCCGTTAAAGGCCCTGAGCAGTCCTGCTGCACTAGGTGTCCATCTGAGTTGACCTGAGAATCCCCTTCCTGAGTAGCACTGATCAGCACGTGGATGCGCTAGGAACACGGGTCGGCCTCCCAACACCTGCGCCAGCACAATTTGGGAGAGCCCTGCAGCCTCCTGACACGCGGTGCCCTGGTTCCGACAGGCACTGACCCAGGCTCGCTGGCCCCTGAAGGCCAACCTAGTCCCCCTGTTCCGAGTGGAAATCTTCACTGGAGGGAAGTGGCGATGGCAGGCCCAAGACGTGGGCACAGCAGGATAAACAGCAGACTGGCGGTGAGGTACCGTCCTTTCCCGTGCGCCTGGGTTTTCTGCCACCATCCCCTCTGCTACTGCACACGTCCTGGTCCTGGGTGACATGCAGGGGCAGGGGAGGAGGCAAAAGCGGATGCAGGGGTGGGGGTAGGGGGTGGGGGCAGACCCAGGGCAGGGGGGGAGGAAGGGCGGGGGCACGAGCAGGGCCAGGGCAGGGGGCAGGGGCAGGGGCAGGGCAGGGGCAGGGGCAAGGGCAGGGCCAGGGCACTCAGGCCGCTGCCCCTGCCCCAGGTTAAAGAGCTGCTCCTCCAGGAAGGCGCCCCCCAGGCTGTACTGCTCTTGGTGAAGATGCATTTCTTCGGGCTACAATTGGCTTCCTCCAAGGACGAAGTATGCAAATCTGAGGGCTCTCGCCGGGTAGTGCAGCCCCCGGGGCAGCAGCATGAGGCCCACAGCAGCCCACACGACCTGGGGCACGAGGGCGCCGCAGCAGGTCAGGGCCAGGAGCCGCAGCGTCCACGCCAGGAGGCGCTGGCTCCTCTCCTTGGCCAGAGGCCCGTGTCTGTAACAGGCAGCAAAGCTGAGGGACCCAACTGTCAAGACGTAGCCTACAACATACATCCTGTGCTCACACCACAGCCACTGCAGGTTCTGCATCCACTGGCACACCACATACACTGAAGCAAACCAACAACTAACCATTACAGCCCCAAAGGTGCTATACTTAGGGATGCGCCTTCTTGCCAGCAGCAGGAGGAAGACCTGTGTCATCAGGTCGCCCGGCGCCATCCCCAGGCAGTAATAGAAAATGGAGCTTTGGTCAGTCCCAGCAACAACAACAACAAAATCACAGACATTCCAGAAAACTGAGATCTTAAGCCAGCCAAAGGAACGACATTTCTATTTTTCATTTTTATTTTTTTACTATTATTTTGTTAGCTTTTTTATTTTGCTTTTTGCTTTTTTCTTTGTTTTCCCTTTTTTTGTTTGTTGCTTCTTTTTTTTTAGCTTCTTTCTTTGTTCTTCTTTTTTTTGTTTGTTCCTTTATTTCCTACTTCTCTTCACATTATTTTTTTCAACCCTGTGAGCAGCAGACATGTAAGCGGCGCGCTCTTGTCCAAGGAGCATGAGCCCTGTGAGCAGCCTGCCTCTAGCCTAAGAGCAGCAGCCTCATGTGGCCTGCCCCTGTCCAAGGAGCAGTAGCTGAGTGAGCAGCCCGCTTCCCCATCCGAAGAGCAGCAAGCACGGGAGCAGTCCAACCTGTCTGAGGAGCAGCAGCCGCAGGAGCAGTCTTCCTACATCTGAGGAGCAGCAGCCCTCACAGCCTGCCCCCATCCGAGGAGCAGCAGCTGCACACAGCCCGCACCCTGCACAAGTCCGAGGAGCAGCAGCTGCACAAGCATCTTGCCCTCACCCAAGCAGCAGCAGCCGCACGAGCAGCCTGCCCAATCCGAGGAACAGCAGCTGTGTGAACAGCCCAACCCCTTCTGAGGAGCAGCATTTCTGCGAGAGGCCCAGCCCCATTCGAGGAACAGCTGCAGCCCACCCCGGTCCGAGGAGTAGCAGCCATACGAGCAGACCACCCACTTCCAAGGAGCGGCAGCCCTACGCAGTATGCACCGGCCTGAGGAGCAGAGCCACAACAGCCTGCACCTGTCCGACAAGCAGCAGCTGGTCCTAGGAGCAATAGCCCCACAAGCAGCCCACCACATCAGAGGAACAACAGCAGCATGCAGCCAGCCCCCATTCAAGGATCAGCAGCCACGTGAGCAGTCCGCCCCAGTTCAAGGAGTAACAGCTGCGTGTGTAGCCCGTCCCCATCCAAGGAAAAGAAGCCTCGTGATCAGCACACCCTCTGTCTGAGGAAAAGCAGCTGTGTGTGAAGCCTCCCCTACCAGCGAGAGGACCCACCACAGCTGTGAACAACACCCACCAGAGGAGCTGCTGCCAACTGAGGAGCAGCTGCTACCAAAACCACCCGAGGAGCAACCACAGCCCGAGGAGCCACTGCCACATCAAGGAGCAGCCCCTGAAAGACTCAGCATCTAGATATGTCACTGAGATCAAACATGGGTAGACAAAGAAAGCCCGAAAGGAAAGAAAAGGAGAACTCGCCAGAAAAGCAGCTAAGTGAAACAGAGGCATGCAGCATGACAGAAAAAGAATTCAGATTAAGGGTCCTAGAATGCATAAACCGGATGGAGGAAAAAATCAACAACTTATGCAAGAATCAAGAAGAAACAGATGAAAAAATCAATAAACTATGTAAGAACCAAGAAGAAATGAAGAGTGATATAGCTGCAATAAAAAACACCATTGAAAGTTTCAACAGTAGACTGGGAGAAGCAGAGGACCGAATTAGCGAATTAGAAGACAGGGAAACAAAACACACACAAACAGAACAGCAATTGGAGAAAAAAATTAAAAGACAGGAGGAGAGCGTAAAGGAGCTATGGGACAACATGAAACGAAACAACATATGAATAATAGGGGTGCCAGAACAACAGAAAGAGGAACAAGGGTTAGAAAACCTATTTGAAGAAATGATATCAGAAAACTTCCCTGAGATGGGGAAGGAAAAAATCACACAAGCACAAAGAATCCCAAACAAGGTGAACCCGAAAAGACCCACACCAAGACACATCATAATTACCATGGCAAATGTTCAGGACAAAGAGAGAATCTTAAAGGCTGCAAGAGAGAGACGAAAAGTTACATACAAGGGATCTCCCATTAGATTATCAAATGATTTCTCCACAGAAACACATCAGGCCAGAAAAGAATGGAGGGAAATTTACAAAGTGATGCAAAGCAAAGGACTGAATCCAAGAATACTCTATCCAGCAAGGCTATCATTCAAAATTGAAGGGGAAATAAGAAGCTTCACAGACAAAAAAAAGGCTAAGGGAGTTTATCACCACCAAACCAGCCATGCAAGAAATGCTAAAGGGACTGGTATAAAAAGAAGAAATTAAAAGCTCAGAAAGAAAACAGCCACAAAAAATAGAAATGGCTACAAACAAGTACCTTTCAATAATAACTTTAAATGTAAATGGGCTAAATGCTCCAATAAAAAGACATCGAGTGGCTGAATGGATAAAAAAAAACATCACCCATACATTTGCTGTCTACAAGAGACCCACCTCAGAAGAAGGGACTCACACAGACTAAAAGTGAAGGGATAGAAAAATATCTTTCAGGCTAATGGAAATGAAAAAAAAGCTGTGGTAGCAATACTTATATCTGACAAAATAGACCTCAAAGTGAAGGCCATAACAAGAGATAAAGAAGACCACTTCATAATACTAAAAAGATCAATACAACAAGAGGATATAACTCTGATAAACATATATGCACCCAATGCAGGAGCACCCAAATACATAAAAAAAAAACTCCTGGAAGATATCAAAGGAGAGATCGACAACAATACAATCATAGTAGGGGACTTTAATACACCACTGACATCACTGGATAAATCCTCTAGACAAACAATCAGCAAAGAAACAGCAATCCTAAATGACTCACTAGATCAGATGGACTTAATTGATATCTTCAGAACACTTCACCCCAAAGACATGGAATATACATTCTACTCAAAGGCTCATGGGACATTTTCAAAAAAAGACCACATATTGGGCCAAAACAAAGTCTCCCCAAATTCAAGAAGATTGAAATCATACCAAGCATCTTCTCAGAACATGAAGGCATAATATTAGAAATAAACTACAATAAAAACAACCCAAAATACTCAAACACTTGGAAGCTGAATAGCATGTTAATAAATATTGATTGGGTTACCAATGAGATCAAAGAAGAAATTAAAAACATCCTGGAAACTAATGACAATTAAAACACAACAATCCAAAACCTATGGGAAACAATGAAAGCAATCCTGAGAGGGAAGTTTATAGCCCTACAGGCCTACCTCAAAAAACAAGAAAAAATGGTAGTAAATCATCTGACTCTACAACTCAAAGAATTAGAAAGAGAGCAATAAGAAAAGCCCAGAGTGAGCAGAAGGAAGGAGATAATAAAGATCAGAGCAGAAATAAATGACATAGAGGGAAAAAAAATACATAAAATCAATGAAACCAAGAGCTAGGTCTTTGAAAGGATAAACAAGATTGACGAACCTCTAGCCAGGCTCACCAAGAAGCAAAGAGAGAGGACCCAAATAAACAAAATCAGAAATGATAGAGGGAAATAACAACAGACCCCACAGAAATACAAATGATTGTTAAAAAATACTATGAGCAACTCTACTCCAACAAACTAGACAACCTGGAGGAAATGGACATATTCCTAGAAAAATACAACCTTCCAAAACTCAATCAGGAAGAATCTAAAAATCTCAATAGGCCAATAACTATGGAAATAATTGAAGCAGTCATCAAAAAGCTTCCAGCAAACAAAAGCCCAGGACCAGATGGCTTCACAGGGGAGTTTTACCAAACACTCAAGGAAGAACTAAAACCTATCCTCCTCAGACTACTACAAAAAATCCAAGAGGAAGGAACACTTCCAAGCTCATTCTATGAAGCCAGCATCACCCTAATACCAAAACCAGGTAAAGACAACACAATGAAAGAGAATTACAGGCCAATATCCCTCATGAACATAGATGCCAAAATCCTCAACAAAATCTTAGCAAATCGGATCCAGCAGTACATCAGAAGGATCATACACCATGACCAAGTAGGATTTATTCCAGGGATGCAAGGATGGTACAATATCCACAAATCAATAAACGTGATACATCACATAAACAAATTGAGAGATAAAAACCACATGGTCATATCAATTGATGCAGAAAAAGCACTTCACAAAATCCAACACCCTTTCTTGATAAAAACTCTCAGCAAGGTAGGAATAGAAGGATCATACCTCAACATAATAAAAGCCATATATGACAAACCCACAGCCAACATCATAATCAATGTGCAAAAACTAAAACCATTTCCTCTAAAAACAGGAACAAGACAGGGATGCCCACTCTCACCACTCCTGTTCAACATAGTACTGGAAGTACTAGCCTTTGCGATCAGACAAGAAGAAGAAATAAAAGTCATCCAAATTGGAAAAGAAGAAGTAAAATTGTCCTTATTTGCAGATGACATGATACTGTACATAGAGAACCCTAAAGACTCCATCAAAAAATTATTAGATTTAATAAATGAATTCAGCAATGTAGCAGGATACAAAATTAATGCCAAGAATTTTATGGCATTTCTTTACAGCAATAGTGAACTTACAGAAAGTGAGACTAAAAAAGCAATCCCATTACCATCGCACCAAAAAAATTAAGATACCTCGGAATAAATTTAACTAAGGAGGTAAAAGACTTATATGCGAAAAACTACAAGACACTGAAAAAAGAAATAGAGGAAGACATAAACAGATGGAAGAACATACCGTGTTCATGGATTGGTAGAATCAACATCATCAAAATGTCCATACTACCCAAAGCAATCTATAGATTCAATACAATCCCCATTAAATTACCAAGGGCATATTTCACAGATCTAGAATGAATGCTCCAAAAATTCATCTGGAATAAAAAAAGACCTCGAATAGCTGCAGCAATCCTGAGAAAGAAGAACAAAGTAGGTGGAATCTCAATACCAGATATCAAGCTGTATTACAAAGCCACTGTTCTTAAAACAGCTTGGTACTGGCACAAGAACAGACATATAGATCAATGGAATAGAATAGAGAACCCAGAAATCGACCCAAACCACTATGCCCAATTAATATTCAACAAAGGAGGCAAGAGCATACAATGGAGTCAA